CCGTTGGCTCCAGATGCGCAGGCTCAGCGGCCATGGCTCACGAGCCCAGCCGCTCCGCAGCATGTGGGATCCTCCCGGACCCGGGCACGAACCCGTGTGCCCTGCACCGGCAGGCGGACTCTCAACCGCTGCGCCACCAGGGAAGCCCACCCAAGGCCTGCCTTTGATTCCAGAAAATAAACTCTCCCTCCCGTGTGGACTCTCGTGGGGCTCGAGGCCATTCAGGAGTTGTCTACTACCTGGTGGGGCAGTGTAACCGAGGAGCCATTAGGGAACGTGGCTGGCTTCTCTCGCCCCTTCAAGAAAAAGGTCAGCAGCTCCCCCTTCCCTTTCACAAAGATGGGCCCTCTCCTCACAAAGCGGAAGCCGTACTCTCGAAGGATGACTTGAGTTTCTTCCACCACCTGTAGAGGGAGAACCGAGAGCGTGGGCTTAGAGAATGAACCTGGGCCGCGGGGCCCGCTGGTACCCACGCAGGATCCCTGTCCACAGGCTCACAGCGCTCTTCTCCTGCCCCTTCCAGCCTGTGTACCGGTTGCGGGGGGTGGGGTTTGCCTGGCCCGCCCCTCTGTAACCTTCGTGCTCCCTCTCCTAGGAGGTCAGCCACAGGTCGCCTTGTTTGGCAACTTGTATGCCTGCTTTTCTGTCCCCTTTGCCCTTCTTGTGGAGCTTTCCTGCCAGAGCCACTGATACAGATCAGGGTGGTTTTGGGGGAAGCTGTTTGTTGGAGGCTCAAGGTGTCACTGGTTCACACCAAGAGGCAGGACATTTTTTTTTTTTGCGGTACGTGGGCCTCTCACTGCTGTGGCCTCTCCCGTTGCGGAGCACAGGCTCCGGACGCGCAGGCTCAGTGGCCGTGGCTCACGGGCCCAGCCTCTCCACGGCATGTGGGATCTTCCCGGACCGGGGCACGAACCCGTGTCCCCTGCATCGGCAGGTGGACTCTCAACCACTGCGCCACCAGGGAAGCCCGAGCAGGGCATTCTTTTATCCAGAACTTAAACCTACATTTTGTAAATGGGGTTGAAGTATTTTCTCCGTTTTACTGAGGCATCTCTTCCCATTCTTGCCCTTGATCTCAGCATTGCCAACTTAACGTCCTGGGCCAACAGAAAGGAGCAAGTAGAGCCCTGCAAAACATGCATTATTCCGATTCCACTCCCTGGATCTGAGCACACGGTCGGCTCTGTTGCTGGACGTACCTGAATGTTGCCCATGACCCCTGTGGACTCCATCCTGCTGGCAACGTTGACTGTATTGCCCCAGATGTCATAGTGTGGTTTCCGGGCTCCGATGACGCCAGCCAGTACCCCTCCTTTGTTCATGCCTGAGGTGGAGGCACAGAATTCAGCACAGCCCCATCTCAGAAGCCACCAGCTCTTCTCACGGAATTTGCCACCTGGCTCCAACCACAAAGCTCCTAGTTATGTGACATACCCCTCGTCAAGCCTAAGCTACCGGAGGACAGAAGTCCCGTGTCCTTCTCACCCTCCTCGCTCTGTGCTCGGTAAATGTCAGCCACCCCAATATACTAACTCATTTAGTACAGAAGTTGCCAGTTTCTCTCTTGGCACACCTGGTACTTCAAGTCTCCTGTGACCTTGCCCAGGATCGAGACCCCCTTCCCAGTAGTGGGTGGCAGATGACATGAATCCTAACAGGCTGGACTGAGGTGAACAAGGCCCTCAGGCACAGAAGATTCCCTGGAAAGGTAGACAAACTCCAGTCCCAGCCAGATTCAGAAGGAAGGCCATCATCGTAAACGGCGTGGGACAGGGACGGCTGTGACCATTTCATCGCACTTGCAGTTCGGTCATCATCCTGAAGACCCGTAAGGTCCCTTCCAGCTCTGAGTGTACGACCCTCCGCAGCCCCAACGTCTCGGGTCTTTCTAAGCCCCGTCCTCCCTGATTTGCCGAGCCCCCTGCACCGGGGGGCTCGGCACGGCAGGGGGGGGGGCGAGAGGCCTTACCGATGCGCAACATGAAGTTATTGAAGGACTGGTTGTTGATGTTGGCGAGCGTGTCTTTCATGGCGAGCGCGAAGTCGGCCAGATCTGCCAGGTGCTGCCAGCGCTCCTTGTCCGACCTCTCCTGCACGAGAAAGCAACCGTGAGCGCCAGGGCCAGCCGGGCGCCTTCCTTCCCTTCACCTGCTAGTTACAGGCCTTGTTCTGCACTTCCTCCCACAGGGGAGCCAGGGAGCTCTTTAGCTCTGACTTGTCACTGACAGCTCACCTGGGTCCCTCTGGGTCCAGGGCAAGGATGGACAGAGGTGGTGGGGAAGGCAAATCCTTCCCAGCCCAGCTGCTGTCTGCCATGCATCTGGCAGGGCCGTGTCACCACCCTGTCTGAACCTGGCCTTTGAATTTTGTATTGTTGTCCTCATTTTGTTTCTTCAAGTAGATTGTAAGCACCTGAGGGTCATGACCATTCTAGATGTGTTTCTTTAACCTCATCCATAAAGTGGAGATGGCAGTAGGACTTAGACTGTACAGCACAGTTGTGAGGTAAACGAGGGTAATGTTTTAAGAACAGCCCTTGGGACCAGGGTCCCTACAGTTCATTTCCTCTCCCTCTGGTGCTAAGCACAGCTGGCCTCACAGGGCTGAGCTAACAGGAGAATAATCTGTCAGCCAGTGAGCGTTGACGACTTCCCTCTCCTAACAAAACCATTTCCCCAGCCCGGACATCGTCACTGTTACATAACTGTGTAGATGGTTCCTGCTCCCCGGTTCTTATGAAAGTATAGAGCATTAAGAGGGCATGGCCAGAGGCACATGAAAAGATGCTCAACATTGCTAATTATTAGAGAAATGCAAATCAAAACTACAATGAGGTACCACCTCACAACCAGTCAGAATGGCCATCATTAAAAAGTCTACAAATAGGGCTTCCCTGGTGGCGCAGTGGTTGGGGGTCCGCCTACCGATCCAGGGGACATGGGTTCATGCCCCGGTCCGGGAGGATCCCACATGCGACGGAGCGGCTGGGCCCGTGAGCCATGGCCGCTGAGCCTGCGCGTCCGGAGCCTGTGCTCCGCAACGGGAGAGGCCACAACAGTGAGAGGCCCACGTACCACACACAAAAAAAAGTCTACAAATAAATGCTGGAGAGGGTGTGGAGAAAAGGGAACCCTCCTATACTGTTGGTAGGAATGGAATGGAAATTGGTGCAGCCACTAGGGAGGGTCCTTAAAAAACTAGAGTTGCTATATGATCCTCCAGTCCTATTCCTAGGCATATATCTGGAGAAAGTTTTAATTTGAAAAGATACATGTACCCCAATGTTCACTGTAGCGCTATTCACAATAGCCAAGACATGAAAACAACCTAAATGTCCATTAACAGATGAATGGATAGAGAAGATGTGGTACATATATACAATGGAATATTACTCAGCTATAAAAGAATGAAATAATGCTATTTGCAGCAACATGAATGGACCTAGAGATTACCATGCTAAGTGAAGTCAGTCAGGAAGACAAATATTGTATGATATCACTTATATGTGGAATCTATATGATACAAGTGAACTTATCTATGAAACAGACTCATGGATGTAGAGAACAGACTTGTGGTTGCCAAGGAGGTCGGAGGTGGGGGAGGGAGGGACTGGGAGTTTGCGGTTAGCAGATACCAACTATTATATAGAGAATGGTTAAACAAGGTCCTACTATAGAGCACAGAGAACTATATTCAATATCCTGTAATAAACCATAACGGAAAAGAATATGAAAAAGAATGTATATGTGTATAACTGAATCACTTTGCTGTACAGGAGAAATTAACATTGTAAGTCAACTACACTTCAATAAAATAAACTAAAAAAAAAAAAGGATATGGCCACAGTTACATAAACCATCTCATGCCTGGCCTAAGCTGTGGAACAGCAGTGGGGGGGGCCACGTGTGTTCCCCTCTCTCTGCTTATTAAACTCGTAAACCTGGTTTTATATTTGCACCGCGTGGTGCTAGTTGGGTGTGTGTCTGTGACCCCTTCGCACAACAGTACTTAATGGCAGCTACTTTTATTATGACATCGTTTCCCACGTGCTACGTGTAGGCTGCCTCTCTCTTGCCCCATCTCCTCTAGACATTGAGCTGGTTAGCTACCTTGTTGGAGCTGGTAAAGCCATTGGTGTTGACATCTGGGGTGACTCCTGAAGCTGCCATGTAGGTGCTGCCAATGGTTTTGATCTTGGTGATGACCCGAAACTTGGGATTGTCCAGGAGCTGAGGCCAGTAGTAAGGAAGAGAGAACTGTCAGCAGTCAAGGGAGATGAATGAGCCACAACTAAATGACAGCTTGGCCTGTTTACAGCAAGCAAGCCCACGAGACATCTAAGATGTTCTCCTGTAACAGCTTCATCCAGCCGACATCTGCCACATGATCCTGGGCCAATGTCCCGATATTCTGAGCCTCAGTTTCTACCACCTTAACACTGGGATGAAAGTGCCAGTCTCCTAGGGTGGGTGAGCGTCTATGTAAAAGCATTTCCCCTGGTATACAAGTTACCTGATAAATGTCTACTGAATCTGAATTTGAGGGTAGGAGGAATCAGAGGGGCCTCAGGATCTTGTTTTGGCCAGACCTATGAACTTGGAGGTGATCTCCCAGGCTCTCACCTGGGACCCAACATCTCCAGACGGCTGCAGAAGCCCCTCCGTTATGCGGAGGGGCTTTTATGGGGAAACACAGCAGCCAGAGTAACTCTCTAACTTCCCTCCGACTTCTGCAGCCTTTCCTGGGCTGCAGTCTGGAAGGGCTGGCTCTGTGGCAGGGGGAGCGGGGCGCAGGATGGTCACTCACAGAGTCAAAATCTGAGATGATCTCATTGAGGAAGCGCAGACACTCAATGCCACCGTTATTGATGCTCTCCTCTGTGTAGAAGTCGGCAAAGTTGGGCAGGGAGGCAAACATGACTCCAATCTCGTCATAAGACTGACTGTACAGCTCCTAAAAAGAGGCGGGGCCAAAGTGCTCAAAAAAGTCTAAGTGAATAATGTGCTATAGAAATGAATGTGTCTTCCATACCCATGACATGTGCACTCAGCTTTTTGGACACACATGTCTCCCAGACTATCCCAACTTTGAATTATTAGAAAGTAGCTCATCACAACAATTAATAACTAAAAAAGAGCTTCACTAGTCCCTGCAACAGCTCCAGCTCTGAGAAGAGGGTGGGGTTGAGCTGGAAAGTGAGGCATGAGAACCAGTCTGAGATGATCACGGTCGACAGAAAGGTGGGCTCCACCAAGGCCTTGGCTTCTGAAATGGGCCTCCCAGAGGTGTGTGGCCCATGGAAGCAATATCTATGGCAGTGCCCTTTACCAAAAGCCTGTGAAATTCTTCTTTTGCTTCTAGTATTGTGGTGCTGGGTAGGTCCAGCCCTACCTGGGCCCCCAGACCATGTCATAAGAAGACAGAAAGCCAGAAGATGACACACAGGCTCGTGGCTCCAGCACAGGGCCACCCCTCACCTCGTCTCTCTTCTTGGACCCCAGGAAATGGCGTGCCACGTGCTCAGGCAACATGTTAGTGACCAAGGCCTCGTTCCAGCGTCTCATTTCATAGACACGTTCCTTCTGGTCGTGGACCTCAATCTTCCATAAGAACAGTGTTCGTGCCAGCTTCTCCACCTACGGACACAGACATAGGTAAGATGTGAGCTCTAAGCTGGCCATCTGAGGGAATTCCCTCCTGGCCCAGTGGTTATAGGACTCGGTGCTTTCACTGCTGTGTCCCGGGTTCAATCCCTGGTTGGGGAACTAAGATCCCACAAGCTGTTCAGCACAGCCAAAAAAAAAAAAAAAAAAAAAAAAAAAAAAAAAAAGAAAAGAAAAGAAAAAGCTGGCCATTTGATGGGAAGACGAAAAATGGGAACTTGATGAGTTCCAACATGGAAAAACTGAAAGGAAAACGGCTAATGGCAAGAGAAATGAGACCCAGAAAGATTCACCTCATCAAAAAGGCCACCCTACAGGTGCAGTGAGGATCCCAGCCCCTTTGGTTACAGGAAGATGTGAGAGGTATTCTGGATGTGTGGGGCGTCCTGGGACATAATTTTAGCTACAGGTCTGCCCTGTGGGTGGTGGCAGCAGTGGGATCTCCTAGCCCAGGGAGGAGGAGTCCCCATTTCCAGCAGGCTCCATTTGGTCAAGAAGTGGCTGGGGGTGGCTGTAGTTCCCCGACAAGCCACTGGGTGGCACCTGAGCTAACAGGGAAGTATGTCCCTCAGGAGGGTACTTCGTTCCCTCTCCTCTTTTTCCTTTTAACCAAACAAAAACTTCATCCGCTTCTTTCCCTTTATTTTCCAGCTCCGTAGTCAGTGTGTTAGTGACTCCCAGAGCCAGGGTGAGTGGAGATCCATGAGCCGCTGGCCTAGGGAATAGAGATTTTATCCAGGCTTTTGCGCCCCTCCCCCAGGCTTCCTTCAGTTTCCCGCAGGAGGTCAGAGGGAAGAGGGAAGAACTGTTGCTCCTGTGCTACTGAGGAAGAAACCAGAAACTGGCAGAGGTGGTGGCCTGACCAGGGTCACATGCCGTGTGGGGTAAGGGGACCAGCATCCCCCAGCAGCTTGGGGTCCTAGGTCCTGGGGCTGCTTCTCCAGAGGCCCCGACAGGTCCGCGCAGGGCGGTGGCGGGGGGGGGG